GGCCGTACACTCATGATGAGATGTGCTTTTGAGGTGTTTCCAAGGTTCCAACTAGCATCCAGGAAGTGTTCTAGGTCCCATGATTAGTTGCAATTCAAGTTTGAGGCCCTAAATGATCATCCAAGTGGGTTTGTGGCCCTAAGGGATGTGTGCGGCCGTACAAAGGGGTGTACGGCCGTACACCCCTCATGTTCATGCCCAAAATGTCGACTTTAAGGTGCATCAAGGCTAAGATCATGTCCAACTTGAAGATAGGGGTCAAACTCTCACTTTGGAGAGCCTTTAAGGGGGTGTACGGCCATACAAAGGGGTGTGCGGCCGTACTCCTTCAAAGGGTGAAGAACATAATGGAATTTGATGAACTAAGGCTTGAATCAAGAAGTCCTTCAAGTATAGCAAGCTAAAGGATGGAATACTCACGTTTTTGTAGCCTTGGAGAGGTCACAGTTGAAGAAACTTGAGAGAGTAGGAGTAGTGTGCAGCCAAGAGGAGAAAGGAATGAAGGAAAGGAGTCTACCCATATATATAGGGGTGAGTGTGCGGCCATGAGGGGGGTGTACGGCCGTACACCCATGTGTGCGGCCGTGCACTCCTCCTAAGAGTGTGTATGGCCTGATTTTGTTACTTTACGACTTGATAACTCATCCCTAATCTCCACATTGGTTGTACTCAAGCTTAGAACACTTAAACGAACCCTTAAACAGTACTAAAGACAACATAAACGAGTTTAACATTGATAGAATTGACCAATGGTACGAAATAGAAGTTTCGGGTTGTCACACACACACACACACACATATATATATATATATATATATATATATATATATATATATATATATATATATATTCACTCTAATTTTTACACCTATATATACACATCTAACTTTATTTTTTACCTACAATCCAAATTATTTCTCTCATCTTATTTCAAACCATCAAACAATTTCTCATTTCATCACTATGGATCAAAACCCCAACACTTCTCCTCCAAACACAAATACATCTCCGCCTCTCGATTTTGCACATGTACGCGAACATCCTCAATACTCAAGGCAAATTTTTCAATCCCGCCTCACCCCACCACAATTCCGTACAACCCTTCGACGAAACATTTTCAACACATTCGCTACAATGTAACAAAATACCACACAACCACTGCCCATGCAAGAAACGGTACCCGAAGCGGGGGGAGGGGGGAGCCGAGAAAAAAACGGGCAACAAAGGGAGAGCACGAAGGAAAGGGAAAGTGGGAAGACGAACCTCCAACATGGTGGACTGCGGAGGAAGAATACGCGTTGGTGGTGGCATGGTGCGGGACATCAAAAAATCCAATGCAAGGAAACGATATGAGAAAAGTTGCTTTTTGGGAAGGCGTGATCGGGAAATTTCAGACCATTTTGAAGAAGGATGCAAATTATCGCAATCACGATATGTTGAGTAGCAAATGGACTCAAATAAGCAAGAAGTGCACCACGTTCAATTCCGTCCACAACAAACTTTCCTCGCACAAGCAAAGTGGTGCGACCGATTTTGACGTTTATAGAGCGGCGAGGGACCAATATCATGTCGAGAGCGGTCACATTTTCGAGCACGAAAAGATTTGGGAGATTGTCAATGAAGACTCAAAATGGAATAAAACGGACACATTTACGGAACAACAATCGAAGAGGTCTCGCGGCTTGGGTTCGGTCGACGTTTCGAACGCATGCACGAACATCGACCTCAATGCCGACACGGATGAGATACCGGACAACTTGAACGGCATCGAAGAGATCTCCCCGCCTCGACGACCGAAAGGTCGCGACAAAGCGAGGCGGGCTCAACGACATGCGAAGGAAGGTGGAAGTAGACGTCGAGAGCAAGCGGAAATGAAACAAAAATTTGACGATCACAACGAAATCGAGCGTAAAAGATATGAGTTGCAACCGGAGCATTTGGAGTTCCATCGTCGTGAAGCCAATGAAGATCACATTGCGAAGGATTTGACAATTCTTCAAACTAGCGAGAAGAATATGCCACCGAGGTGCTCCGAAAAATAAAGGCAAAGATCGAGCGGAAATATTTAGGCGAAGAATAGTGTATCGATTGTATATTTTTAAATTTATTATGTTTTCCGTCAATGTTTTTTTCCGTTGTAATGTCGTTTTTAATTTTAAAAATGTTTGTTTACTTAAGTATTTAATTTAATTATGTTTTATTTAATTTATATGTTTTTTAAAAAATCTTATGACATAAATTAAAAATATAAAACAAATTAGAAAAATAGAAATTAAAAACATCAAAAAATAAATAAATTAATAGAAAATGGTAAGTGTTATCACGTGTTATTTGGTGTTGCCCATTTCCACTTTGGGTGTTATAACACCAAAAATATGAGTAAGATGATGAGGTTGACACTTTGGATGTGATAACAGGTAATAGTATGTTGCCCACACCAAATAGCCTAAAGAATTATTGTTATAAAGTATAAACTCATACTCAACAATCAACGTAAATAAACAATTTATTAGATTATAAAACTTAAAACATGTAATAAATATGAAAAAAAATATTTATATATTAAAAAAATAAACAACTAGTCAATTATTATTTATGAAAAAAAATGAATTAACATTAGGAGTAGCAAATCAGACAATCGTGTTGTGTTTTTGTCAAGCACGACACAAAAAAGTTTTATATAACATGAACATGACACGATACGATGTCGTGTTTTTTTTAACTAACACGAAAACGAACTAATTAAAAAACGACAAACACAACGTGATACGACAAAAAAAAACATAAAATAACAATTAGTTTTTAAATTGGTAATTAATCATACATAACATGAAAAACATAACAAACAAATGTTAAATCGTTGTCAATTTTGAACACAAACACGACACATCATTTTGTTTTTAAATTTAACACGAACGCGAGACCAACACAAATTCAAATTTCAGTTTTGTCGCAATTTCATTTCATAACATATGTTTTTAGCGTTTCTTGCCATCAATTGTCACCCTTTATTAATATCAAATATTATTTAGACTAAACCTTTTAACACAAATTAAAAATACTTAAAAGTAAATTAATCTATATTTATGACAATAACAACATATTAAAACAACAAATGAATTAACCATGAAGTTGAGTAATCTTCTAGATACTTGAAATAATTAATGATTGAGTGGGTGAATGGTGACTTTCACTTTCACTTTCACTTTCACTTTACTTTTTTACTTTTATTTTACTTTTATGAGTTTTGCACCTCTATTAGGCGTTGGCGGAGCGGCTCGATAAGGAGCTCGACGTATCCTAGTTAGCTTCGGCGCACATCACGCCACGACTTCAGCGACCACAACTCGGCGAGGTCACTCGGCTATGGTCTGCCGATAAGAGAGAAAGCATTTAACCCTAATTTATTTTTTTTTTCCTTTTCCATTTAATCAATTTTTTCATTTTCAAAAATTACCTTATTTTCAAAAAAAAAACTTTCATTTTCAAAATATAACCGTTTTTTTTTTTCAAATTTCAAATTGTAAACCCTCAATCCTCTACTATAAATGCCACCATTCTTCTTCATTCTTCACCACATTCAAATCTTATTAATTCGGTTCTCCTATCTTTCTTATTTTCTATCTTCTTCATAACCTCATCACTAAAAAATGGTCGTGTTTGGTCAACTGATGAAGAAATCATATTGGATTGTTCATGGGTTGATGTAACAAGACCCAATCAACATTAACGTTAGTACGACTACTTTTTGGAGTAGAATCGCCGAAAGATTCAACCGCAAAGCCACTCTACCTTGAAGTAAAGGTCAAATCTTCTTCAAATGGAGACATACAAGCACAATTTCAATTTAGTTTAACAATGTGTTTCAAAGTGTGATGAGTGAAGCCGAGCAAGGTGAAAATGAAAAAACTTTGTTTGTGAATGCTCTCGAGGCTTTCCGTGAAAAAACTAACAAACATTTCCGGCATGTTGAGTTTTGACAAATTGTGAGGTGGTGCGACAAATGACGTCCATTTTAAGTTCGTTGTCTTTTAATTTCTAGTGGGTTGTGTGTTAATTTAATTTCAAGTGTGTTATGATTTTAAATTTCAAGTGTTTAATTTCCTTTCAAGTTAATGAAATTTAAGTTCTCATTAAAATAATTTGTTTATATTGATTTGTTTATATATAATAAATATTAATTTTTTTTTTAGCATTACAACCTTGTCAACCAACGCCTTTTAAATAACAAAAATTTGCAAATTCTAATGGTGTCAATAACAAAAATTTGCAAATTCTAATGTGACACCATTTCCTCTGGTCTTTTTTTTTTCTCTTTCCGGTTTCAACTTCCAGTATTCTCAAACATTTGCTCCGATTACCAAGAACAATGGAGTAGTAATGTCTACTTATCATGTAGATACCTCAAGATTCAACTTCAAGAACAATAAAGATTAGGAGACGTAGATGAGAGCCCTAGCTAGAAGGCGGAGAAGAGGGACTCAGGGAGGTGACGGCCTGAGATGGGAAGAGGGATACAGCAGCCGAAGATGGGTAGACCGAGGTGGTGGATTATGTGCGTTGGAAAACTCCAAAGATGTAATTTTTGTTTTAAGGGTTTTGGATTATCTTTTCTAAGATTTTAAACTTTTGATATTATCTGTCATAAATTTAAAATTTAAATCAAAGGTTCAATATATAGTTTGATAAGTAATAACTCATATCCGTCGTTATGATTATTATTTATAGAAAAGGCTTATTTGTTTTTTTATAACTATTAATCCACCTTCTATAAATTTGGTTTCCTTTTTTCACGTATTTTTTTGGTCAAGACGATTATATGGAATCTGTAAAGATTCTAACATTTATTTATTTATTTTTTTCTTTTTGCTGTACTGATCGATCTAGTGTATAAGGTTGTGTGGGGCCTCTTGATATAAATTTCTAAAACATTGACCCTCTCAAAACCAAGCAAATCCAGCCATTGTGATTGTACTACATATTTACGTTTCCAAGGCAGGGTGTAGTACAATCAAACCAACTAATAATTCTTGTCTCGTTCCTCTGTTTTCACTCAAATTTCACATGTCTCGTTCCCTTTTCTTCATCTCTCTCTTCCTTTTGCTTGTTATCTCCGCCGCTGCTCATGGCGGCGGCGAAGACGATGAGGACGATGACGCCCAAAAACCCAACCTCCGATCCAAATCCTTGATTCTGGTCAAGATATGGTGTTTAATAATAGTCTTCTTTGGGACTTTCATCGGAGGAGTCTCTCCCTACTTCTTCAAATGGAATGAAGGATTCTTGGTACTAGGCACCCAGTTCGCCGGCGGCGTATTTCTTGGAACAGCCTTGATGCATTTCCTGAGTGATGCCAATGAAACGTTTGAAGATTTAACAACAGTCGAATACCCTTTTGCCTTTATGTTGGCTTGTGCTGGCTATTTGCTTACTATGCTTGGTGATTGCATCATTTCCTATGTGTATGGAAAAGAGAGAACTCCTGATGTTGAAGGTCAAGGTAGTTTGTTCCTTGTTTTGTTTAATTGATTGATATCTTAAGTAACTGTTGTTGTTTATAATGAATAGGGGACAATAGGAATGGAAAAGACGAAGTGAAGATTGGAATATCATCGGCTTCTTCACTAGGAGACAGCATCTTGTTGATAATCGCATTGTGTTTCCATTCAGTGTTTGAAGGCATAGCAATAGGGATCGCAGATACCAAAGCCGATGCTTGGAAAGCTCTGTGGACGATATCTCTTCACAAGATCTTTGCAGCCATTGCAATGGGAATTGCTCTTCTAAGGATGATACCAGATCGCCCATTCTTATCATGCGCATCTTACGCCTTCGCCTTTGGAATTTCAAGTCCAATTGGGGTTGCAATTGGAATTGTAATAGATGCCACCACACAGGGTCGGGTCGCAGATTGGATATTTGCAGTATCCATGGGAATAGCTTGTGGGGTGTTTGTATATGTATCCATTAACCATCTGCTAAAGGGTTACAAGGCACAGAAGGTCGTGTCCGTTGACACTCCCCATCATAAGTTGTTGGCTGTGACGTTGGGTATTGGGGTGATTGCGGTTGTCATGATCTGGGATACCTAATCGATCCATTTCGATTTTACTATGTTTTTTTGGGTTCTTTGTGTTTTAAGTTAGCAGCATATACGTATACATGGGTTTTCTGTTTTACCACTTGTTTTGGACATCAAGAGTCTAGTATATATATACGATAGGATAAAATTAAAATGCACATGTATTATGTATTGTAATTTGTAAACATAGAAAGAAGCATACTTATCATCAGAAGATGAATAAGAGATTAATTCGTGTTTGGGGGTTTCTTCGTTTGTTTGTTCTTGTGCATTGAAGAAGCAAACGAAGCCAGCAACAAAAATCACATAAAGAAAATGAGCAAATTACATGGTTCAAATTTTGCAATGTTATAGATCATGTCTATGTTGGTATGAAGAAATTACAGTGTTGGTCTACATATGAAAAAGACTATTATATCCTTTTTAATTTCTTTTTATTTTTTATAATTAATAAAATTAAAATTTAAAAATTAAAAAAAAAGCCACACCCACCTCACCCTTTTTGATTTCTTTTTATTTTTTATAATTGATAAAATTAAAAATTAAAAAAAAGCCACACTCACCTCACCCCATCCATCCCACCCCCACCCATTCTTCTCCAATAAGCACTCTTTTGTATATATATGATCTGGTTAACATATATATGTTGTCTGATTATTTGTTTAGTGAATCAAAGATGGTGAATAGGAGGGTTACAAGCGAGGGAGGTGGAGAGTCATCTTTGGATATCCGTTATTCTGTTTAGATTGGATCGGACGAAAGAATAGAATCTAGCAAGAATTTACAGAAAGAGAGTTTGTGAAATGAGAGGCGGTGGGTTTCTAGGTTCAGATCGACGAGGATGTTTATGGTTTTGGATCGCCGGTGGTGTGAGCACCGTGAAGAAAGAGATGGAAGGAGACAGTGGTTTGACTGGTGGAATGGGGGGAGGCGGTCGGTCCTTGTTTAATAATTTTTAGACAAAACTGCAAAAATGGTCTTTATGCATTTTTTTGGGGTTTTAGTCCAAACCCCGACCTTTTCGGATTCGTGGTCCTTTTGGCCATGATTGTACGTAAATTTGGTCCCTCGTAAAACTGAAATTACTATAATGCCCTTCTGATATATTATTTTTTATGTTTTTCTATTTAATTTTAATGAAAAAGGAAATAAATAATTAATTTGGGCCCACACCTACCTACCTCTCTCTCTCATCTTCTTCCTGTTTTCTTTTTTATCTCTCTAAACTCTACTGAAAAATTAGAACACATCACATATATATACACAGAACACACATACATACATACATACATACACAACTCAAATACATACATACATACACACATACATACATACACTAAATTACTTATGAACTGAATCTGAGCTCGAAAACCTCAAAAATCTTAGATCCTACACAAAGCTTTGCAGAAACTAAAATTATGATACAAACTAGGTGTTGAAATCAAATAACAAATTCAATTGATGATGATGAAATAAATGAGAAATCAATCGACTTACTGTTGAATCAAACCTGCAACTCTCGATCTAATACTGTCACACCCCGCTAAAGCGGAAACACAGGGCGTGACAGTACAAAGGGTTTCATCGCAAAAGTTAAAAGACAACACCAACCATAGTATTAAAAATCATTACAAATTCACAATGGGTTTGAACAACTTTTAAAAGAAATTACAATGTAAATTGAAATACAACACATGTGAATGCTCCTAAAAGTGAAGTGTCACTTACTCGCTGATTCCTGAAAAAGCATGTAAAACGAGCGTCAACTATAAAAATAGTTGGTGAGTACTCACAGATAAACAAAATAATATTGGTTCCATGAATTGAAATCAAAGTTTTGATAAAAGTTTCCAAATAAAAGTATATTGTTAAAATGAGTAAATAAGTTTGTAAAAACAAAGTTCTTTGTCATCATGAGAGATAATGTATGTTGCCCAAATAAGATGCAACATTCATATTCTCATGGAAGATAAAGTTCGTTACTCAAACGAGTAAACAAGTTTCATTGCTAAAATGAGCAATCAATTTCGTTGCTACAAGGAGCAAACAATTTCATTGCTAAAACATGTATATAAGTTTTCAGTAATAACAGTTCGTTGTTGTAATGAGAAACAAAGTTCATTGCTATAATTAATAAACAAGTTTATTGCTATAACGAGAAACGAGTTTGTATGTGTATGAGCAAACAATGAGTCTCAACCAAACCTATGACTGAAGCCCTATCAAGATCTATGCTTATCGTTCCATAGATGAATATGGTATCATGCACTCCAGCAATAGGGCGAGTGAGGAGTTGTCAATTCCTAATAGCGCTATCCATAATGACCATTGGCTCAAAGAGTTAATGGTTAGAGATAAGGGAAGGGCCTTAGTACGATAAGTTCTCATGTTCCGTGTTGCATAGACATACATAGAGAGACATAGCAATAAAATAGCAATCATGTTTGATACAAATCAATTTAAATACAACATTCAAATAATAGTTTTTTCGGGACATGCTTTTCCACCCCAAAACATAAAAACTGAAAATAGGGGAGTGCGTGAATACTCACAATGCATTGAGATGATGCAAATGGTGCCTTGATCTACGCTCCACTCGTACCACTATCGTTTTTCCTACAACGATGTTACACACTAATGAGTCCCTAATTGAAATCTAATACTAGTATACTTACTACTACAATAGAATTATGCCAATAATGTGTCAAAATTTAATATTGATAAGTTACAAACATTTTTCTGTGGAAATTAAGTTTCAAAGAATCAATTGTTATATAACAATTTAAGTGGAAAATTTCCATTATTGAAATGTTAATATTTAACATTTTAGAGGTGTTCCAATGATTAAATATTCAAAACGAAATCAATTTAGTTCTAAACTTTCCCAACTTTGTATTTCATTTTTAATTGAAGTCAAACACCTTAAGATAAATTTTCTTGAATTTTTGATTTGTCTAACTATTTTTCACCATTTAATTCCATGAATAATCATAAAATCATGGAAAAATAGTAAATTATCATGAAAAATTCTTGTAATTTTTGTGTAACTATTTTACAGTGTACATAATCTAGGAAAAATATTAATATGTGTTTTCAAAAAGTTTAACACAATTTTTCTGATTTTTGTACATTTAAGTGTATTAAATCTTGGGAAAATAGAAGAAAAATAGCATACAGAAGATAAAAATCATCAAAATTTTTATGTATCATCCTAACATATTATAAGAGTTTCTGGTAAATTTTCATGAATTTTGGATGAGTAAAACTATTTTTCCTGTTTTTAGTCCATTATAAACACAAAAATTCAAGAAAAATAGATATACATTTTCAAAAATTCCCAAAATATTTTTCGGAGTCTTAAATATAAGGTACAAGCTGCGAAAAATAAGAAATAATATTTTCACATTCCCTAAAGTGGTTTTATGATTTATTAGAGCTAAATAAAAAGAAAATTAAAAACCATACTAAACAGTAACAAAAATCGATGAAACTTATGAGAGATGTTTATTAACTTAAAGGGTCATCCACAAATATTTCCAGAATTTATTTACAAGTTTAAGTATTTTATATGCTTTAACACTCTATTTTATTATTATTTTCATGTAAAAATAAAGAAAATATATATTGAGCTGAAAATTTCCAGAATGCAACTTCAAACAATTTAATAACAATGAAAAATTGTTTTCTTATTTTTGATGTCGAAAAACATGCCTAAAGGCTCAAACAATTATAGAGAAAACTTGATTCTTGTGATTTTGGTAAAAATTATTGATGTTACTTTGAGAATTTTTGCAACATGTTCCAAAGGCTTTTGAATCAAGATATTTTTATACCTCTTAATACATGATGTTAAGTGCTCAAGTTAATTTTTCCTTGATTTTTAGTGATGAATAAGATCTTTGAACATGCAATACAAAACTAGTATTCACAAAAAGGTGCTGATTGAGCAACAGTTTTGTAAAAATTGCTAAAAATCGAAATATTTGAATTTTCCAGTGAGGTCAGATGGGTTTGAAAGCTAACTCAAAATATTATATTTCAGAAAAAGAATCCCGAATTTTGGTTAAGAAATGAGTGAGATATGACAGTTTAAAGTCAGGTAAAGAAATCTGGCAGATTGCATGCATGATGATTGGTTAGAAAAGTGAGTTTTCATCATTTCCTTGAGTAAATCTTTTGAAATATTTTAAATATATCATGATAAACTCATATTTTAGTCATGTTTCCAGAGATCAAAAGATTAAAACTTATCAAAATGTATACATGCATTTATGAACAAAATTTTGTTTCTCAAAAACTCTTAACTTGAGTTTGATGTTTAATCCTTAAAATCGATTTTTGCACTAAGATCATGAACATGCAACCTTGTTTATCATACATGCATGGTGTTAAAACACATCCATGATGTTCTAAAAACCATTTTAACAAAAAGAAAACAAGTTTGAAGAAGATGAAGAAGTAGAAGTCGGTTTTGAAGTAAAATGCACATGCATGGCTTAAATCATTGTTGTGGATCTTCAAGAGATGTATGTTCTTTACCTTAAATTTATTTGTGGCTTGAAAAACCCTTATGAATCTCCATAATTTCGTGGTTAAGAGGCTGTGGTTGTGGTGTTTGGAGAAAAAAAAATTAGAGAGAAGGTAGAGAGAGTTTTCTAGAGAGAGAAAGAAGAGAGATGTGTGTGTGTTGGAGAATGAGAGTGTGAGAGAGATATGGGAAGAGAGGGGTCCGAAATTTTGAGTATAATAACCCTTTCTCATTCATTTTGTTTTATAAAATTTAAGTTATTTTATAAAATATCTAAATTTTATATAAAATGTGCACTAAAATCAAGTTTTTATTCATGAAACCTTGATTTTTGACTTATAAATTAAGGATGAATGTTAATGACTTAAATTTTTATTTCCTTGATTATATTTCCCTGAATTTAATTGTTTTAAGATAATATTATAAGTTTCATAACTATTTTTATAGAATTCTTGATGTTAAACTTTATAAAATTTAAGTTTTAGGGTTTTTAGGGTTTTTGAGAGTTTGTAAAAATTTGGATATCAAAATAAATAGAATATTTGAGACTTTAAATTATCTTATGGTATTATAACTCTTTTATAGTTATAAATAATGTTTGTAATTTATTTTTATCGGTTTATTGGCATTCTATGTAGTGATTCCGAGATTCAAGCGAAATTGAGGAATCAAGTATACTAGTCCTAGTCTTCAACTTTGACTTAAGTTTCTATGAGA